GAAAGGGATTATTTCCCTACTTTTACTCTCAGTGAGACTGTTACTTGTGTACAAGAAGGTTACTGATTGAAGTATTTACCTTGTATCCAGCTACTCTACTGAGTCTGTCAATTAAGTCTAGAAGTCTTTTGGTGGAGTTTTTTTGGGGTCTTCTACTATGTAGAGTATCAGATCATCAGCAAATAATGACAGTTTCACTTCTTCCTTTCCTATCTTTATTGCTTTTCTTTCTTTCTCATGTCAATTGCCGTGGCTAATGTTTCCAAAACTATATTGGACAAGAGTGGTGATAGTGGACATCCTTGTCTCTCTCCTGATTTTAGTGTGAAGGTTTTCAGTTTTGACCATTTAGTATGATGTTGGCTGTAGTCTTTGGGATCCAGAACTCCTGAAGTGGAGCTTGACAGGTGGAAGTCTACAGCCACAGGCTCTCTGGTACTTACTATGTCTAATGCTGCCTGCTGTAAGGGATATGTCAGGGATCTTGGGTGGGCCAGAGACAGTGATCCAAGCCATGCAGGGAGCCTCTCAATTTCCAGTAGGGGATCCTGATGAAGGGGACACCCCTCAAACTTCTCATCTTCCTAGCGCATGTGCTCGGGCTGGCAGCCACGTTTTTAATTTCCTGTACTGATCCCTTGCTAATTCTAAATAGCCTGTTTTAACATTCTTTAGAAATGCTGGTGGTGTGGGTAGCTCAGAGGTAGAGCATTTGCCTAACACGTGTGAGTCCCTGGGTTCATGCCCAGCACTGCAAAAACAATAAAACATTTTTTAGAAACATACAAATAGATATAAAAAAGGACTTGCCCACTCCAGCCCACCTGGCGGGGCTCGTGGTATAGCCCTGTTTACTTGCATAACCTGCCACAGACGGAACCTAATTGAGCAGCCATTGTTGTTCACAGTCACTTTAATCAAGAATGGCAGAGCTAAGCTGGGGTCTGGTGCCCAGCAGCTGACTTCCCTGAGCAAAACAAGGCATAATCATACTCAGATCATCATCATGATGTAGCAGCAAACTCTGATATCTTTAAAATCTATACATAATTGCCACTTTGGAAGTGAAGAACAGGTGAAGGAGATGGGGGACATGGATGACAGAAGCACAAGGATTTGGCTCCATTTTATTACAAAACCAAACCAAACAAAATTTTGCAGTGAAATTTCCTGGAATTCACAGTCCTTCTGTTAAAATCTTTATAGTTGCAACATATATATTTTTAACCAGTACATAAGAACACAACCGCACTATTTACACAATAGTCTTCTATTTAACAAAAATAGTCATGTTGTATGATCAAATGTTTCCAACGATCATCCTTAACTTTTCATGGCTAGCCCAGCATGAGACAGTTTATGTGCTCCAAGCTCATGGAAAATCGAATGAAGCAAAATAAAGGTCTGTGTCTCCTAACAGAAGACAAATTCCTCTAAAGACAGGTTGTGTTTTCAAATTTCTTTGTATTTTAAAAGCTATAAAGTGCTTTGAAAGGACTAGGGTTGGTGCCTGAGGCGGAGAAGGAAAAAGACTTACACAGATAAAACAAAACAAAACAAAAACAGAAAACAGACAACTGTACCACTTTAATGGATGCTTTAAATGTGCCCATGAACTTCGTACAGAAAATGTGAGTGAGTGGCTGAGTAATCCACTACTACAGTATTTCGATGACCGAGAGCTGTCCAAAGTCAATTGAAAACTCCCCATGCAAGTATCATTGGAAGCAACGTTTTGTGATTTTGGGGCTCAGATTGCAAATGAACCTTGGAAGCCTGGTGCTGTGCTCTGACCATGGTGGAGACGAGCAAGGCTAAGCCCAGGCCGTTGTATTTATGACCTTCAGGCTGGCCAGAAAGAGTCAGTGGGGCAGCTAAGTAAAATACCACATGTGACATTATTCATTTGACAATCAGGGCATGGGATCCATGTTAGGAAAGCAGAGTGAAGCCCTTGGATTTTCCTCTTTTAGCAGGGAGGCCTGCAGGTTGATTTGCAATGTCATCACTGCTGCTTTTGTAAGTTCTTAGCAGACCCTTTCTTTTTCCCCAATGGGAAATAATGATGTAAAAAAAAAGGGGGTTCGTATAAGTTGGGTTTATTTTTCACATTTTTAAAAACTGGGAATTGCTGGTTGTGGCCTGCAGTCTACAAAACTGGTGTCATGTATGTACTGGTTGGGAGACTCCCCTGGAAACTAGAATAATCTTCCTCCAAGCTCATGAACATTTTAAAGAACAATATACCTTTTTTTTAAGGAATGGATGGAATGTAACTTCTCACAAGTACAAAATTACTTCAAATTTTCTAAATATAAGGGACATCCCACTATAAAAATAACAGCCCCTTCCAACCTCTCCCACCCCTAAATCTTTCTAATTATAAAATGGTACAACTATTTCAGATTGCTAATGTGAAAGCAGAACTAAATATATTATGTACATGTATAAAACACATCAGCATTGCACGCCATTTACATTCATATGAACGAAGTCCTTTTATTGATCTTCCTTTGTGATTTCACAAGAAGAAAGCTGAGAGAAGTTACACATGAAGCCGACCTCTGCTTACAGCTCAGAACATATTTTAGCCCGAGAAATCTTTGCAAACAGTGCATGTCAGTGTTTTGCAGAAGAAAGGGCTGTGAAGCACTTTTGTGTGAGTTCTCTTCCAACTTTTCAGTTTGTGACATTCTTCCCTCTTTTGATAACCGTAGACCAAATTTTCAACTGTTCAGGATATGGTATAATCAAAGGCAAATAATGAGTTGAGGAAATCAAGTCAAAATTGATTTGCTGAACGAAGAATGTTGTTCCAGCAGAGGGCGCTGTTCACCGTGCAATAACATTCTACTGAACATACGTGCCATACAGGCCAACGCAAATTCAGACTATGTCCACGTGTTAGTCATTGTTTAACTGCTTTGCTATCAATTCAGGCAACTGTTTGGTATTTTCTTCAAAGGGTAGGATGTAGTGTAATGAGCTAGCTCTGATAGGCGAAAAGTCTTTGGCTATTTAAAATCTTCACATTCTCCAAGAGAACAAAATTCTGAGTTCAACAAAGCGCTAGACTTGGCTGAAAGTTTTGAAGGTAAAGGGACTACACACTAGACTTGAAAGAGAGTGTGGTATGAAGGTCACAGTTCCCTTATCTGGGATTTCTGGATTTAGTAAGGGCAATCAACAGCCTTCACAAGAAAACCCCCTAAGTTTCGTTCAACCATGAGACCCCTGTTCACATTTTTTTGTGAGAGCATTAGGAGAAAATTGAGCCAGGCAATGGAAGAAACGTGTCCATTTGGATGGTGATCAGTCTTTGGTTTATACAGCACACATGGTCCTTAAATATTCCCTGCTTCCCTCGGGCCAGACACTGTCTGAGCAATGACTTGGGTGACTCTGACTGAGCCCTCTAGTCAGACTCGCAGACCTCTTAAGAGGTGCATATTGTCTTAAATTGTCATCAATAAATATATAGCAGGTGGCTATGGAGTAAATGGCTCTGTAGTAAGTGAGACACCAACAGTAACACAGGATTAGGAGATCTTTGATCATGGAGGCTCCTTAAAAAGCCACTGGATTGCAAAACACATGAGACAGGGAAAGAACCGTGACTGATCTTAAATAGGCTTTTGTAGAACAAGAAGGCTCTACGTTTTAAAGGACTTAGTCACTAAGGACTGTATCTAGCATCTGAGTTCACTTCATCAGTTCTCGGAAGGCGATTTAGTGCCATCAGAAGGCTCCAAAAGAAGAATGTTGCTGTCAATCTATGAGTCTTTAAACATTGCTGTTCCTAACACAGAGAGCCTGGGGTTGGGAGGTGTGGAGCAGGGCAAGGGGAGAAGAGCGACATGATGATGAGAAACTCATACCTGCTTCTCAGAATTAACCTCTGCGGGCTACCCAGATCTCTTTTGCAGTTGCGAGTGTTACAGCATTTCATATGTCCCCCAATTCATATCAGTTCTAAGCCTGGGGAATGGGCGTTTCCTTGGGGAGCCCATCTATGTGTTCAGCACAGAGCCTTCGAGCCCTGCTCCCTGACAGGGATCCTGAAGCCTCTGTTCTGACTTCCTGCAGAGTGTCAGGCCTTTCCCCTTTGACACAACATCACCAGCTGTGCTCCGCCATCCCCCATGGTGCGCACAAGGAACCTCAGCCCCCACCTGTAGTAAACAGGCCCTTGGCCCCTCTTCCTTGGTTCTAACAGCTCTGTTGTGAGGCTCAAGCTTTGTGCTGAGATGTTCAGCAGCTATGAGTGCCACCAGACACAGGACAGACATACAGATCCTGGCCCTGGGGCACAGGGAGAACCTGGGTGGGCACACGCACTGCCAGTGGCAAAGAAGGCAGGTGGCATTTTGGGATTGTGACCTTGACATTTTTTGTTTAGTAAACTTCTGGCAATGAAGCCTGGAAAAAAAAAAAGGCAATAGCTATAAAATCAGTGGGAAAGGAAGCAAAAATGAAACTGGGTGTGGTGTGCACTCTTGTAACCCTAGCGCGATGGGAAGCTAAGGCAGATTCGCTAGTCTGAGCCCGATGTGGGCAATGTAGTGATTTAGCTAGATCTTGCCCTGCCCCAGAAGATGCAGATAGAGCTCAGTGTGAAGGCCCCTCGTTCAATGCTTAATACCTAGAAAGAAAAAGAAGTAAAAGTGAAGGTGACTGACTTAGGAAAGAACTTAATTTGCCTTTATACATCAGAAGTAAAAGTATAGATATTACCACAGGAAAATGGGAAGTGTGTGTGTGTGTGTGTGTGTGTGTGTGTGTACACACCGACAAAAATGGGGAAGGGAATCCAAGAAACAAAGTATAAAAATACTACTTGAAATTGCTTCCATGGTCCTAGTGCCACAGAGGACTGGGTCCTTGACCCATCCAGGAAGTGACTCCACAGCCCAGATATTGTTTCTCGTTTCTTTTCCTTCCCTGCCTTCCTTGTATATTGCATCTGACAAGGTCTCACTATGTGGTTTCGGTTGACCTTGAACTCACTACGTCATCCTGGCTGTCCTTGAACTCACATTAGTCCTCCTGCTTCAGCCACCTGAGTGCTATCACACTGTGCCTGCGTCCCGGCCCTTCTGAAAGAGTTTAGATTCAGTGAGATTTCTTTGTGTTTGGTCACAGAGATGTATTCGGTGGATGATCAAATGGTACTAAATTCTCATGCTCTAAGAGTTTTCTGCCTGTGTTAAAACTCACAAAGGATTCTGTTGGATCACTTGCCATCATTTGGGATTTGGAGGTGTGGTCGCCACAAGGACATCAGGCAAGGGACTGAATCAGATGCCAGGGGGCATCTGACTGCTGCTGTGACAGCTGGTAGGCTGAGACTGTGTACAGATGCTTCACCACGTAAAGAAATGCCCAAAACACAAGAAAATCGCAAACTCCAAAAAAAAAAAAAAAAAAAAAAGGATGAAGACCTGTCTCATAGTCACGAGCAGGAATGACCATATGGTGTCAAAAGAGTGAAATGCCTTTGCTGCTCTTATAGTTCTGGCTTCTCCAAGCCCTCTATCGTCACCCTTGTCTGGATGACCAGGGGTGATCCACAGGGGTGTCCAAATCCTGGAGAGTAATCAGTACTCAAAAGCTGTATTTATCAATAATCAGTGCTCAGCTTTTCCAGTGGACTAGCCACACAGGAGGCTCTCAATTATTCTAAAGGTGACTCTCAATTATTCTGAGTGAATGTAAATATTTTTCTTCTCCACAGTTGGGCAATGCTGCTGGAGAGCAGAATGCCGGCCGTTGCAGGGGCTGTAATGCACCAGCTGGAGGCTGACGGTCATAAACCCCAAAGGTTCATTCTTAGTAAGGCCACACAAAATCTTGTATTTGGTGTCAATATATAGTGTCTTAGTCTTTCCTTCCAAATTCTTGTGTTCTACCTGGAATATGGGGTTAGGGAACTTGGGTCTGAGCACAGACCTGCCAACCTTAAGGAAGAATCAGGGCTTGAGGTAAAATTGGATGACTTCAGTCTGGAACTCTTTGGCTCCTACAGTGCCAGGTATCAGCCTAAGGGCTTGTCACAGGAGTCAGCAGAACTCTGTTTCAGCACCAGATCAGCATGGTTTGTGTGACTTTTGGAAAGACAGCAAGTAAGAGAAATAAAATCAATGAGAGTGGACAGCAGTGGTTACAAGGTTCAATCAGAAATTTGAAAAAGGGCTGCTTGAGTCTTTATTCATTACAAAAGAAGCGGATCTCTGGCCCTCTCACTAGGTAACTTGGATGGTGTCTGACCTCTCTGGATGTCATTAGAGTCTCAGCCTTTTTCTTCTGTGAGGCCCAGGGGTTCTTGCGAGAAGACTGGAGGAGCGCTAGACCTGTGCTACCTGATGGGTAGCGACCAGACTCCCGGGGCTGTCTAGTGCTTACAAGTCCAAAATGAGATGTGCTGTGAGAAACACTGGTACAAAGGGAGTGGAGGACATCTCCTTAGCACTTTTCCATCCATTACATGCTGAAATAAGAGTGTATTGGGTTAAATAAAATATATTATTAAAATTATGTTACCTGTTTCTTTTCACGTCTTACAATGCGGCTAATAGAAGACTTAAAATGACATATATCGCTTGCATTGTATTTCTGTTGGACAGTGTTGGCTTAGACCCTTATACACGCAGTGTGAAACCCTGGGTTACACATCCTTGGACACTCACGTGTGCACCAACGGTTCTCCAGGTCACACAGAAAAATTGTCTTTGGGGGAGGTGGCAAAGAAGGCTACAGAGAAGGGCTTCTCCATTTCTTTTGAAAGGGAAACTTTCTGATTAAAAAAATATTTTTCTTTAATGACCAAGGCCATAGCAAAACCTTCTGGTAAGGGAAAAGTCTCACACGCTCAGGGTTTTGCAGTGGGACCTTCATGGGGTGAGATCCACAGGCCTCAGGGCTCTTGGGCCCCTTGTCATCTACAAATCCTATAGAGTGGCAACTAATTCCGGATTTACCTGGCCATTAGCAGGAAGAGAAAATATCTCCTCAAACAGAAGGCAGTCCAATTCAAAGGACCTTTTCTCTTTGAGTATGGAACACAGTTCATATTCCGTTTGCTGTTGAATTATCCTAATTCCATTAATAACTACATCTGCTTGGGGGCAGAGCTGACTAAAGGAGAAGGAGGCGGGTGAGGGCCAAAGCTGACTGAGAGAGAGAAACACTTGTGAGATTGAGAATGCCACACCAAGAACCAGGCTTTGAAGGTGTCCGGAAACTCTTACCAGCAGCTTTGAAACGAGGCAGAACAAACCAACTCCTACTTGGATTTAAAAATGGAATCATTCAGATGTGTTCATTGTCAGCGAAACGGGCAAGCCAAGATGCACACAAAGGCCTCGCTCTGCCTCCCCCAGCTATGAAATCTGCTACCTGCAAGGGCAGATCCCACTGGCAGAGTAGTCATCTGTGACCCTGAAGTCTGAGGGAGCTGTGGGAACCCTTAACTTGACAGAGAAACTGAGGCCTCCTGAGGGTGTGGCTTTGGTCCTCTCCTCCCTGCCCGCTTATCCTCAGAGACTGAATTTCATTCCAGGAAATCATCTGGGTGGCAGTAAAAAGGGCAGCCAGTGTCCTCCTGTGACCCACATGCCACGTTTCAGCAGACAGCAGGGGGTTTACAGTGGAACCAAGCACCATGTTTGAGTAAGTATTAGTGTAATGAGGCGGAAAAGCTCTCATCAAACACGTAAATACAGCTCAGCGAGCAAAGCTTTCTTTCATGGTTAATCCAAGCAGCGGCATGGCCTGTGCCAGCTGTTTAGAGATGCTAAGGTAACCCACCTGACCGTCCAGACACAGGTCACTGCCTGAGGCACCCCCACAACTGCAGAGTCAGAATGCCTTACAAAATCACCTCCTGGAAAAATAGCACATCTCTATCATCATTACAAAAAAAAAAAAAATCAACAGTTTAAAAAGTACAGGTGGATTTCTATATTCATTGGGTACCTCGTTTCCCCATTTCCCCCTCTCAGTCGGATAAAGTTGATTCAGCAAATTCCCATGCTGTACTTTTCGGTTCCAGTGACTTAGCAAATCCCACCTCATTCCTCTCTCGGTTTCTGAACACTCGGGAAGCCCTGAGAAGTAAACTGCTAAGGATTCACCTGAACCCTTCCGCACGGTCTGGGGAGGCTTGACTTAAGGTATGGGAACTAAGGTAAAGCGAGGTGTGACTATAGCCCCCACTGTATTTAATCCCTGGGCTCAAACATGATTCCATTTTTCCTAAAGCCTCAGAGGCTGGCCGCCCTAGGCACTGCTCCTGGAGATTGTTGTTTCTGCCTGGGAGGATACTTTTGAGTTCAGAATTTCAGCCACAGACTCCAAGAGGTAGCTGAGCTGAAGTCCTTCCCCGGAACCCCTTCTCATGTAGTGGTGGACCCTTCACAGAGCCTGGCAAATCAAAGCCAGTGTGATGTAGCTTAAAATACGAGTCATGACCTCAGCAGACTTAGGACTTGGTGTTAGGCTCTCTGGTGTTTGGAATTTTTCAACACCCATTTCAAAGAATTTCAGCTGTGAATGAAAGCTGGCCTTACACTGTTTCAAGGTGCAGAGGCACTTCTCCAAGCCATGCACGCGTCATGCGGAGAGGCCAAAACCACAAATCTCAGGGATGTTGTACAGACTGATCATAGCAGGAACCGGTGTTTTTCCACAGAACGCTACAGGAGAGCGTGAGTGACCCAGAGGAGAAGCAGGAGGAGCAGATGTAAACTGTACAGTCTTTAAAAAGAAATTCAAACAAAGAATTAGTCTCCCCCAAAACGAGAACAATAAGACCTGGAAAAATTGAAATAAAATTAAACCCTAGGGGCTCGCTTTCAGTCTGTCCCAGGAGCTTCTGAAATACAAGTGTGTAAGAACATGGACGGGAAAGCAGCATTCAGCTGCTGATCTGCACAGGCCGTAGACTGCCGTGGAGGTGGGAGAACCGCATCCCGATAAAGGAGACTTTGGATATCGCTTTTCATTACCATCCTGAACATAGTGCCCGGAGTTCCCAGGTGTTCTGCAGTGTGCGTGCCCGTTCGAGTCTTGGAGCACTCCTCCCTGTCCCCTCGGGTCCTGTCTGTCTCCTCTGCATTGCCACTTCAAGATTTCACCTCTTCGCAGTCTTGGTCAGTGGAAAGTTCCATGTCCGAGAGCCCCACCTCCATGGCCATAATCAACGAGATGTCAGAATCGCTGCTCACAGCAGGCTCCTGTTCACCTGGGAGGAGAAACCAAGGTCACAGCGAAGAGTCAGTCACGTCTTTGAATGCTGCTTTTTTAAAAAATAAATTTTATCCCTTCACCCCCTGAAGCCCCCTCCCCTCCCTATGTTCAAAAGTTGGTTTCCATTTTTCCTTCTATTTCCATTTTTTCCTTGTCCCTCCCTCCCTTTCTCCCTCCTCCCGTTCCCCTTCCCATTTGAGTATTTTCTTCCCATTTCCCAACATCCACTATACATTTGAGTCCTTATTTCCACTTTGGTTTCTCACACCAGAGAAATGATGTGGCATTTAAATGTGTGTGCCCGATTTATTTCACTTAAGAGTTTATGGTCTTGAGGTGCATCCGTTTAGCTATAAATGGCTGAGACTCATCCTTCTTTACGGCAGAGTAGTACTCCATTATGTAAAAAAACCACATTGTTATCCACTCGTCAGTTGGTGGGCATGTGTGCTGTTTCCAAGATTTGGCTATTACAGACATGGGTGTGCATGTATCTCTGTGGTATGATGCTTTTAATTTATTTTGGGAAGATACCAAGAAGAGGTATAGCTGGGTCAAATGGAATCTCTAGTTTGAGTTTTTTAAGAAATCTCCACAATGGTTTCCACAATGGCTGCACCAGTCTGTACTCCCACTAACAACGGAGAAGGGTTCCTTTTCCCCCACAAACCCTCCAGCATTTGTTATTGGTTGATTTCTTGATAGCAGCCATTCTTTCTGGAATGAGGTGGAATTTCAGCGTTGTTTTTAATTTGCATTTCATGAATGACCAGTGATGTTGAACACTTTATATATTTATTTGCTGTTTCTAATTCTTCATCTGAGAAGTATCTTTTTATTTCAGATGACCATTTTTGCATTTGGTCTTTAAATTTAGGAGATCTGATTGTTTTTGAATGCTGCTTATTTCACTTCTAGTAATATTCATCTAAAGGCCAAGAGAAGGTATCAGAAAAACTTCTTATTCTCTAAAAACTCCAAAACTTCATCTCAAACTAGGACCCCATAAAAATTCTAAATGGGTCAAAATGTTAAATGTAAACAACAGGAATAACAAAAACTAATAAAACTAGAAAATCTATTCTCTATCTTAGTAGAAATTCACACGTATCAAGAGGGCAAGAAAAGTGAGAAATTTACAGAAGAAACAATGGAAAATGCAAAACATTAAAATGTTAGTAACACAATGATGAATGTAACTGTACTGTATACCTAAAATGTACCAATAAACTCAATGAGAAAAAAAATGTTAGTAACATAAAATCTAAACCAAAGGCATATATCAGACTGGGGAACTTGCAAAACTGTGAATGATTATATTCTTAACATCTAGAAAGCTTTTAAGTCTAAAAGAAAAATATTCCAAAAGAGGCAAAAGGATACTCTTTATAGTAGAATATAAGTGGTCAATCAATGGAAAGTAAAAATGAGATATCCCTTTTGGTCTGCATAATGTTCATGCTTACCAATAAATTCAGGGAAAAAAAAGAAAAAGAGGGCTGGGGATTTAGCTCAGTGGGGCTGCCACCTGCCTTGCAAGCGCCAGGTCCTGAGTTTGATCCCCGGTACAAAAAAAGATAAGAAGTACATTGTAGGCAGGCAGCTGTGGTGGCACAGGCCTGTAATATCAGCACTCAGTAGGCTGAAGCAGGAGGATTGCCATGAGTTTGAGACTAGCCTGGGCTACATAGTGAGGTCAAAGGCAGTCTGAAATACATAGACCCTGTCTCAAAAGGAAAACAACAAAAGAATATACTGTATTGTACATTGCATATAAAACTGAAATTTTCTTGATTTTTAAAATTAAGACATGTACATCTTTACAGGGTACATTGTTACTTTAATACACATATACAACATAAATCAGGATACTAGGCATGCCCATATCTTTAATCATTGAGTCATATTTATGTGCTGGGCCTTTTGTACACTTTTAGTCATTTTGCAATATATCATAGATGGCTTATAACCATTAGTTACCCTACTGTGCTATAGAAAAAACAGAAGTAGTTCCCTACTCTATGCTTTGGGCCCTTTACCGAACTTTCTGTGCTCCCTTTCCTGCCCTTCCCAGTCTGTGGTGACCACTATTTCTTTCCATTCTTCATGGTTTAGTTAACATTTTTACCTGGTGATTTTGTTTCCAGAATGAATTAGAAATAATGGGAGATGCCAAAGTCTTCAATTAGCATCTCATAATGGCCAAACTGTAAAATTCACTTTTAAGTCCAACAGAATATTGAATAAACTGTTACTTCTAAAGGCAGGTTCTTGTTATAACCGTTAAAGTTTCCAAATAATTTGTAGTTACTAGACTAAATGCTTAAACAGTATTTCTGACACAACCATATAATGCTTAACAGTGTTTTCAGAGTGACAACCATATAATGCTTAACACTGTTTTCAAAGTAACTATAATGTTAAGTGAAAACAGGAGTACCAAGAGTTTTACACATAGAGGGTTTAATGGAAAAAGTTAATTGGAAGCAAGGAAACCAAACATGCTAACACAAATTGTCTGTAGATGTGAGATGTATGTTCATTTTCATTAAATCTTTTTTTTACATGCTATTTCCCAAATATTCTACAATGAACATACATCATGCATTCATCCAAAACATATTCATATATTTATTTGAGGCTTAATTTACTGTGCTGCTACTATGTGCTCAAGATGGCACCAGATGGTAGGGATATAACTGAGAACAAGACACATGTGGTCTACAGAGAGCTAGGATAAGGCAAGGGAAATGCAGTGGTACCAGCTCACTGATGGAACACATGTCGGGTTCTGCAGGGGCAGGCAAGGGAGTTATGGCACCATTGGGCAGGTCACAGAAGGTGTCCCACAGGGTGGGAAGTCAGCTGAGTCCTGTGGGCTGACGAATGCGAATAATCCCTTAAGGAGAACAGCATGTGCAGTTGGCTGGCGGAGATGGGCAGCCTCGGTGGGTAGATATTACTTGGGGTTCTCTTCGCTTTGTACCCTTTCTCCCTGTAAAATATGACTGGGATACAGAGTCAGGCTAGGGAGGATGGTGGGGGAGGGTGGAGGGCTGGGCTGCATGAAGCAGCTTTAAACACACAAGCTCGGGTCCCTCCTCTCACCCTGCAGAAGAAACATGCGATTAAAAGACCAACAAAAATGTCCTGAGTTCTGAAGACTGATGGTGGTTGTAACACCTCTGCTGTGATGGTCACCGATCCCCCACCCCACGCTGGGGCAGTTAAGGAAGATGAGTTTCACTGGGGGTGGGGGGGGGGGGTGGAGGGCTGGGCTGCATGAAGCAGCTTTAAACACACAAGCTCGGGTCCCTCCTCTCACCCTGCAGAAGAAACATGCGATTAAAAGACCAACAAAAATGTCCTGAGTTCTGAAGACTGATGGTGGTTGTAACACCTCTGCTGTGATGGTCACCGATCCCCCACCCCACGCTGGGGCAGTTAAGGAAGATGAGTTTCACCACGGTAATGAATTCCCAAGATGTCTGAGGAGGCAAACAAAAGAGAACTGAACTGAGAGTTAATGAAACCTCCTCCTCCTCCTCAGTGGCTCATCAGCTAATTCACCTCACAGAGTCACCTTTTTCAGCTCACAGTGAAATCGGAAGACAACGGAAGAGCTTGTTTAACGTGGAGTGGTTTTAGGACTCTCATTGGGATCTAATACAAAAAGGAGGTGATGAAAAGAGCCCGGTTACGGTTCTGAAAAGGTAGGGTGCCCCGATACTGCTGTGTTAACTTTTCTCCTGCCCTCTGGGCTTTGCAGCCACCAGAGTCAGCGGACGGCGTGGGTTCATCCTCACCTGAGCACTGCGAGAACTGAGAAAGTGGGAAGCCCAGGGTTGCTGTAACGGAAGGATGCTCTTGGCACGTGGCGCTGTCTGTGGAAAGCAAGATAGCTGAGGGTACAGATGAGTTCAAATGAACAGAAAAGAGTTTCAAGAACGGTTCAGTTTTCGTGTTGTGACGATGCGCCCACTTCATCACCTATTCATCTTCTATCTAAAAACCTAACCGTTTCTTCTAAAAATGATCTGAAGACATTTGAAATTGTTCATTGTCTTACACGTTTAATTGAGCTTCGTTTGTCCCATGCCTTTTAAAAACAATTTTATTTTTTAATCAAGCAGGTGGCTTACTTTGAAGCTACAATAATATGAACGAAAACTTTGTAACTTAAACATTCAGAAGGTTCTCTGGCGGCGGTACGATGGGGAGCATAAGTAGCCACTAACAACACAAATGTTCGTTAAATTTTGCCCTCTTCCCTGCAAAAATGAATATAAAACTAATGCAAAAATAATATTGGCTTTTAATAAAACCACTTCATGTAGGTATTGTTCATTTTATAGGTCAAAATATTTTTATTTAGCTTGACTGTAGTACAATATGTATTTGATATGCTTTTCTTGGTTTTCATGCACTATAAAGACATCAAAAATTTTAAACAGGGAGCAATCTTATCTAAATATTTTAAGAGCTCATTCTGGCTGTTACATGAATAATAGTTTGGCAGGACAATGGGAAGAAGTAGTCCAGTTAGGAAACTGTTACACGAAAAGCAGACAAACAGGGTGGCCTACTGTGGCAACATGGATGGGGGAGAAGAGGACGGACTGGTTCTCCATGCAGGATCTACAGACAAGCGAGGAACTGGGCAGTGGCAGCACGAGTGGGGAGCAGAACGTTCTTGAGGCATTTCAGGTTCTATTAAGCCGGAGAATTGGGGGGTGGAGAGAGTACTGGAGCTCCATGTACTTGGACAGTGGAGTTTTGCACATGCTTTAGGTGTGCAATGCTCGTGAGATGTGGAAGTGGGAGCTAGCTTGGGAGTCTGCAGTGTAGAGCAGAGGTCAAGTCCAGCAAGACACTGGGAGGCTTTAGCAGAGAGAAGGTAATTTCAACCCTCGGGAAGAGAGGACTTTCTCTAGGAAGCGAATGGGAAGACACGGATGGGGGAAGATCTCCCAGGAACCTTCTGATCTAGAGCCA